CAGCCAACCGTTTCCTGACCAAGAAGCCAAACTGATGGCTAAAGCCTCACAGCCTCTCAAACACTGACCAATATCACAGTTTTAACCATTTACTAAATACTAATAAATGTTTTCTTCTTATAATATTTGTATGTATCTTCCTAATAGTTCAGGAGGGTTTCTCAACCAAGTACAGGTAATGAATTAAAACAACCATTGCCACATCCATCACTTCTTTATTCAAGCCCAAACCAAAACATTTCACAACCACAAGGACATGTACATGTACATTGTATGCACATATTGCCTCTCACTTCCCAAGTAAGACACTACAGTTATTAGACGTTAATATTATTCCTTGACTTGAATAGCCACAGCCTACCAATCACTCCCAGTCCCAGGCAAAGAAGCCACCCACAGGCATATAGCTTGTCACTGGCTAACCAAGAGGCCACTGATCATTGCCCCACTTAAATGTATACAGACATGTCACGATGTCAGGGGCACTAATTCAAACCCCATTGAAAACTGGGTAAAATCAACAAAGTCCAGGGTTCAATACCATGCAAGCTGACATACACTGCATATTCATGTAACAAACTCAGTTGTCCAGGAAAGCATGGATAATTTCAAATGTTTGAAAAAGTGCACTTTCAATGCGGATGGATGTACATGTATATTCAAGAAAATACGGTTGAAGAAAAATCCATTGCTGGTGCACTTTTAAGCAAGACTCAACTTGTTAATCTCAATAGGAATGTCTTTATGTGATAGTATACAAGTAACATGTACATGTAGTTTTGCAAAATGTAAGTTTGTGCGGTGATCTTTTTCTACATTGGTTGATTTTCAAGATTTGAGTAGTTCATGGTACGCAGAAATAATTAGAAACTTTATCATGAATTAGTATACTGTACCTTACATTACAAGAATAAAAAGAATTTTAATTACATAAATGCAAGAACAGACACCATCAAATAACATTTATGATGAAAATAAGCTTAGATAATGATGTACATGTACATGATGATGTTTGTGCACTTACATCAGAATACATGTGGAACACTCAAAGAAAATTAGGCCAATACATCATACATTCTTGAGTGCAAAAACCAATTAAGGGTGATTTTTTGGATGTTTCACATCAGCCACGTGGTTTATCTATAGACATTTCATTAAGTAGAGAATATGTACATCATGTACTCCCCCTGATCCATACTGACATCCTGCTGCTAAGCCTGTCAGAAACACTCATCCACAAAGACATGATATTACCACGACTCCTCCATGATGATGCGGAATTCTTCTCCAACCAATACTTAGTTTATGAAGGCTACCCTGCATCAAGCCAGGAGAAAATATCTACTGGTACTGTATATGTACACCTACATGTGCATGTACATGTACATGTAGCTCTAAGCTTGGAGCACTTGCTATGACACAAGGGAGTCTCACTGGCAATAATGCCAGCCGAATCAGGTTTCCCAGCTGCAGATGGCAAGCAGCTGGAATAAGGGTTGAAAAAATTACGAGAGAGGGTTAAAGCAGCCTGCCAGCATGCAGTGCCTTCAGGAGATAGGGTTGAAATGTCCTGTCTCCACAGGTGCAGGGCGTGAGGAGGTTAATTTGCTAATACCTTGGAGGGAGGGAACCCTTTTGCCCAGAGATACCTAAACTGATACCGATAGGGGTCAGTGAGAAAGAGAGACAGCCCGCATGCAGTCAGCATGTGTGAGATTGGATATATTGCTGGGGTGGCCTGGTATGCTGTGAGAGATGTTGACTAGTGAGGCTGACTGTGAGCCAAGGCAGAGAGAAAGGGTTTGATGTGAAGATATTATGGAGAAAGGTAGGCTTCACACTTGCCATGTCACACCATGAAAAAAGACACACACAAAGATTAATGACATCTTCACACCATGCACTTGTTGGCCCCATGGAGCCTGGATTATGTATACATGTATGCATGTTGGCCCTGAAGGGACATTAAAAACATAAGTTAGTATTCAATTACCACAAATTTCTGTCAGGACATTGCCAATTTATTTCATGACACCCTGAATGACATCCGTGACAACTTGAATTTATTTCATGGCAGATTTAGAAATTTCTTTTTGTACATGTGGTGTATAAAAAGCCTCACCTGGTAAATTATCTCAGAATGAGAAAGTTGCATGGGTACAAGTATGCAATGTAAGCACAAGAAAGATATATCCCTTCAAATACAAACCAGCAAACAAAATATTTTCACAACATCAACAATGTGCTTCAAAGAAATAGACAAGTGTATAATGACATACTGTATGAAATTAAATTCCACTTAAGCCAAGAAATGCAAGTCTTGGTGTTACTCTTCCTGGGACTGCTTAAACAATACTCCCTTATCCCATAAGGTTTGGCTCATTTCTGAAGATTATGATCACAGCAGGCCAATCAGAACTCACTTTGAAACCTGAGGAAGTGGGCTGTGCCTCCCATAAAGTGGAAGACCCCTACAGCGCTTGTCAGCTTCACAAGGTCACTGGTTAAAGGTGGGAGACCAAAATATAAATGCTTGCATGCACAAACTAGCTTCTTACAATGCCATTTTCACATTTAAACAAACAAATTCATTTAAATGTACATGTAGATCCTTTATTATCACCATGCTGACATTCATTAATATGACTGATACAACTTTTACTTGTGGGATACATTCTACATGTACCTGACTGGAACATGGAAAAAGAAGGCCTTCTTATTTTCCCATGACTGAAATCAAACATGATGACTGTTTCACTGTGACAGCAATACCATTGTGAGAGTTCTGAGTAGTATTAGAGTACACACCTTCTTGGAAATGTGCATGAAGTGGCATTAAATTTGATGAAATCCAATTTTATCAGGTTTATGCAATACAGATTTTGTTTACTATGAGAAAATTATTCACCGAACATTGTCTTACCTGAATATCATAACAACCTCATCAGCCTCAATGATCAGGAAAATCATGGACAAATTTAAAGTTTAAAAAGGGCACTTTTCAAATTAACCCCTAAAGGTGTCACACATGTTGTTTTCACACTTTGCTAGCTGGCCTAATAAGTTACATACAAAGTGCACTTAAGGAAAATTCACCACAAGGTGCCTTTCAGGAAGGTAAAGTCATTCATTAAAAAGGTACAAACCTGTACATGCACAGTATTTTCCGCAAAGTCGGCACTCATGTCAGATTATAAACAATGCCTGATACTATTCTAATTAACTATTGGATAATAAAAGGAACTTTTGGTCAAGTACATACATGTACACTGTACCTTGGCCACAACACACACATGTACATGTACAGTATGAGCACAGTTGCCTTTACCAATGACCTGGACCAGTTCCAGGCTGTTTCATCATATACATGTACATCTACGAGAATTTTAAATTTTCAGCCAGCAATATCTTCTTTTCAACTGAAAATAAGCATTGTCTTCCTCTCCGTTTGTGCATTTTTGTCTTGGACTTGAACTATTGGGTTAGCTTCCATCTTGTACATAATCCCAAAACATGGTTAAATTGCATCTAAAATGCGAGAAACCAGACCAGACCTGTTTGTGCAAAAGCGTAAATGTAGAAGTCCTAGTCCAAGGCTGGTTAGGTAGCTACTGGTACATGTACATGTAACTGCACTGGCCTAATTATGAGCTGCAGGAGCTGCTGGGCCTAGACAGTGGAGAGTGGAAGCCACAGCACAATAAGTTCCCAATTTTCCACTTGTAGACACAATGGAGGACAGTTGAAACTACATGGACTGTACATGTACATGTAGTCAAGATTTCAAAGTGATGAGAGCAAGTTCATGTTTGTGAGAACATATTTGAAGGAAACATATATAGCACCTAGCACTCCAACCATGGGATTTTGGGAAGTCAAAATCTTGACACTTGAAATTTCTTTCCTTAACAATCACCAAAAAATTGCACATTTTGAGGGTACAGTTGATAGAAATTATATTCTACTTTTGAATGATATTTCCAAGTACATGTATTGTTATTTCACAGGGAATGTGCTTCATATCCCAAGAGCACACACTCCTGGATGATGTTCACCTTTAAATGTACAATGTATAACAGCTTGGGGCCAGATGAACTGCAGCAAAATGGTAGACAAGCATGGGTTGTCATAATACTTCTTCAAAATCAGTCCCCAATTATAAGAAACCACCTATCAATGACAGTGCATAACAAGTGCAGGATGTTGGTTTCAAGTTAATCCAGTGTCAATCAGGTATTTTTATCCTTTCAACTCAGCCCAGGGCACAGCATGGGGAACACATATGGCTGTGAGGTTTGGTATTTCAAGAATCTCACACATTCTGATGAGGACATAAGGCTTTAATGCAACAACAAACCTGCCCTTCTAATGACAGAATAGACTTCAAGTCACAATGAAGCTTAGAGAGTTATGAGGGCAGCAGAGAACATGGTGGGAAAATCTTCAGTACTTTGTAATCAACAGAGGGCCTGTACATGTCTTGTTTTGGGGTTTTTTTTGGCCTACCACTTGCTTGCGAAACTATTGCTGGCTATCAGTAAGAGAGCATAATAAATCATTGTGTTAACATCAATGGGGAAATACACATTTTGAGGTACACGTACATTGTAAAATCTGACACCAGCAAAGAGTAATATTTCTGTAAACTTTGGCCACCCAAAATTTAGTGTTCCAAACTCCGGGGCTGAAGTTAACAGGATTTGCATCAATTTTTCATTTAATACAGCTACTGGTAGAGCAAATAGAATCTTAGTCCAGTACTTTGTATCAAATTTCATCTGAAAGATGCAAATATACTCATTGTAGGCAACAGAAAATTATTTAACATAATGATAAAATATACATGAAGCTGCATGACAATTTCATTTTCAAGGCAACCTTGGTGTTGTGTAAATGTCTCAGATTTCAATACTAATTTGGACAAGTTATTCCACAATAACAATCACTGTTATCTGTCTTTAGCAAGATCAAAAGTCTTTCTGATGTCAAATTGTACTCACCTCCTCTTCCTGGTCCTCCCCGTCCACGCCCTCTCTGTTGACCTCCACCTCTCCCACGCCCTTTTGCAACAACCTCTTCTTTGACCATGTCTATCACCTCATCAGGGATTCGCAGGTACTTAATGGTACTCCCTCGTATATAGCACTCTGGCATTCTCCAAAATCTGTCTCCATCCTACATGTACATGTATGTTTGGCAAAAGAGGGACTTCAAACTTCAAAGACCAATAATATACAGGTTTGTAGCACATATACTGTAGAGAATGAACCTTAAAACCCAAAACCTCTACTCAGAGTCCTGTGGAATAAACTTCAAAAGAAAGTTAGCAATCTGTCTAGGGAATGCTGCTGAGTTGTCAACAACTTCGCTCACATTCACTTGTTCACTCACTCTGACCAGTAATGAGGCATCAAACTTGTACTGGTGTATGTACAAATTTATAAAGTGGTGCTACTGTATCAAGACTGAAATATTTCTACAGTTAATTACAATGACTGGCCTGACATCATGTGAAACAAAATGCTCTGTCTTCCAACATCAAGTCACCAAATGATTTCCATCCTGACCCCCTTGAAGTTGATTTATTTGGAACTTAGTATTGTTATG